ACGTGACAAAATCACTTTCCATAAAGAAATCTAATAGAATGTAATCAGTCAGTTGAGGTCATACCAGGGTAGGGAGGATCCTAACCTAATCACTTCTGAGTTACAGAAGGCCAGAACAGACGTAGAGACCCTCACAGGGGGAAGACAGATGCTGCGTGAGGGCCCATCTACAAGCAAAGAAATGCCAAGAATTGCCAGCAGACACCAGAAACTAGGAGACAGGCCAACAAAAGGAAGCAGCAGGGCTGGGACCCTGATTTGGACTTTTAGCCTCCAGAACTGTGGGAAAATAAATTTCTGTCCTTTAAAGTCAACCACTTATGGGATTTCTTCACCACCAAAAAAACCCCACTGCCATAGAGTCAATTCCGACTCATAGTGACCCCATAGGGTTTCCAAGGCTGTTAATCTCTACGAAGCAGACTGCCACATCTTTCTCCCAAGGAGCCATTGGTGGTTTCAAACCACTGACCTTCCGGTTAGCAGTCAATCACTTTAACCACTGCGCCACCAAGGCTTCTCCACTACAGCACTAGAAAACCAAGACACCCAGGGACAAAACTTGAGCACAAAGCAGTCTGTGTCCCACCCTCGACCTTCACCTGCCAGGTGGACCAGAACGAGATCCAGTGCTCCAGGCCCAGTCAATGTCTTTTCCAAGACCTCCTTGCCCCCAAACTGAACCCGGTGGCCCCAGCGATCTCCTGGCTACCACTGCCCAAGAGAAGCACACCAACCTTCCGCACGGGATCGCCCCATTGTCCCTGCAGCCCCCAGCTAGTCGCAAAGAGACCACTCGGGGTCACCTGGTCACAGCAAGGTGAGTGGCAGGCTGGAGGCAGAGTGAAACCATCCTCTAGGTCAAGTACAGGAAGTGAGGAAAATCCCCATCAAAACAATTCAGTTTTTCAAAGCTGTGCAGGAGCTGTATCCTGGGCTGATGTTCCACATCCTGCTCTTGAGCCTTACAGCTGAGATGTTTGGAAGCCTGCCCACTTCTCCCCCAAGATAACACCCCCTTGTCTGCTGGGGAGGATCTATCTTTGTTGGAGTTGCTTCAGCTCCTGCTGTGACTTGCCAAAGTCAAATAAATGCAGTCACTAAAACACGCTATCTGTGGGCTCTTAAAGCATGTGGCCAGAGGCCCCAACAGCCGCCCAGCATGGTCCAGCCTCTGACGCAGCCCTGGGGCCAGCTGGGTCAGCACCCTGTTCCCTCAAGGAGGGAGAGGCTGAGAAACTTCCCTCCAGCATCACCCAGAGTGGAAGGTGAGCTCCACCCATGGATCCAGCAAATGGGAATATTGTCCAACCTTGTAGTTCAGGCAAGGGAACAGAACGCATCAACCTACAACCTAGGGCAGCAGGTGCTGGCACCGCAGCATGGCGACCCCCTGTCTTAGTTTCTTACTGCTGCTGTAACACAAATACCACAAGTGGATGGCTTTAAAGAATGGAAATTTATTTCTCACAGTTTCTTGTTGTTAGTTGCCATCGAGTCGATTCTGACTCATGGCAACCCCATGTGTGCAGAGTAGAACTACTCCAGAAGGTTTTCAAGGCTGTGACCTTTCAAAAGCAGATTGCCAGGCCTGTCTTCTGAGGCACCTCTGGGTGGGTTTGAACTGTCAACCTTTTAGCTAATGGTGAAGCGCTTAACCGTTTACACCTCCCAGGGACTTTAGTGGTGGCTTTAAAGAACAGAAATTTATTTTCTCACAGGTTAGGAGGCTAGAAGTCCAAATTCACAGAGTGGCTCTAGGGAGAAGCTCTTCTTTGTCTCTTTCAGCTTCTTGTAGCTGCTGGCCATCCTTGGCATTCCTGGGCTTGTGGATGCATCTGTCTCCACCCTCATCAGATAGCATCTGTATTCCTCCTTGTCTGCTCTTTTTATAACTCAGAAGTGATGAGGTTTAGGACCCACCTACACTGATATGAATCCATTATCATAATGAAGAAAAAAAACCCAATTCCCAAATGGGATTACATCCAACTCATATTTAATCCGTAAGATCCCCTAGCCACCCCACTGTTCCTCCCAGGTCAGACATTAACAGGTAGGACACATTGATTTTGTAACATACTAAACCATGACATCTGGAAGTTAAGAATCCACACTTTCCAGCTGAGATTTCCGCAGGAAGATGAGATAAATAATGACTTCATCGTGTGCTTAAAGAAACCCTCAGCGTGTTAAACTGTGAGACTTTACAGCCAAGCCCAGACACCACCTTGGCCTTCAGGATGGAAGTGAGCGATGCTGCCGTCTGCTGATGGGAATGGAAATAGCCTTGAAAAACCAAAAAAACCAAACCCGTTGCTGTTGAGCTGATTCCGACTCACAGTGACCCTATAAGACGAGACTGGGCTGGCCTTGTTCTCCTGTATCTTGAATGTCATTCTCTCTGCAAACACTTACCGAGCATCTCTATGAACCAGGGCTGTGCAGGGGATACAAAAATTCTACTTTTAATTGTTATTAATTACCATCGAGCCAGCATCAAGTCATGGTGACCCCATGTACAACAGAATGAAACATTGCCCGGTCCTGTGCCATCTTCACAATTGTTGCTATGCTTCAGTCCATTGTTGTGGCCAGTAGGAGGCTCACTTCCAGCACTGTATGTGGAATATTTACAATATTCTGTTGTGCACCATTGGGTGTTCATTGGCTAATTTTCAGAAGTAGATGGCCAGGTCTTTTTTCCTAGTCTGTCTTTCTCTGAAAGCTCCGCTAAAACCTCTCTACCATGGGTGACCCTGCTGGTACTTGAAATACTCCTGGCATAGTGTCTCAGTTTCTTAGTGCTGCTGTAACAGAAATACCACAAGTAGGGGGCTTTAAAGAACAGAAACTTATTTTCTCACAGTTCTGGAGGCTAGAAGTCCAAATTCAGGGCACCGGCTCTAGCAGAAGTCTCTCTCTCCGTCATCTCTGGGGGAGGATCTCTTTCAGTTTCTGTAGACCCGGGATTCCTTGATTCCTTGGCGATTTCCACGTGGCACGTATCTTCCCCTCCATTTGTGCTAGTTTCTCTGTGGCTTATCTGCTCTTTTTACATCTCAAAAGTGAGTAGGTTTAAGATACACCCTACGTTGATGTGGCCTTATTAACGCAACAGAAAAACCCTATTCCCGAATGGCATTACATCCACAGGTATAGGTGTTAGGATTCCAACACATTCAATCCATAGTTCCCAGCATCATAGCAATATGCAAGCCAGCACAGAAGAACAAACTGAGAGACAGGTGGTGGCTATTTTTATTAGCAAGCATTCATTGAGTAAAAGTAGCCCTGGTTGCACAATGGTTAAGTGCTTGGCTGTTACCCGAAAGTTTGGTGGTTTACACCCACCAGCCACTCTGCAGGAGAATGATGTGTAAGTTTCCTTCCATGAAGGTTAAAAACCCATTGCTGTCGATTCTGACTCATGGCTTCAGAAAGGCCCAGGTGAAAATCCTACCGGCTCCTGAAAGGAGGCCACTGGCCTGGGGAAGCTCAGATGCAATTCTTGTGCCCCAGAGAACAGGGGGCTGGGGAGACGTGACTAGAATAAATCCTTACTGGGCCCTTGCTGATGTGACCTTGGCAAATGACTTGAGCCCCGGTGCCTCGGTTTCCTCATCTGTAAAATAGGATCATGATAGTACTGCTTCCTGAGGTTGGCCCAGAGCAACTGCTCTATGTGAAATCTGGCTATTGTTATCTAGGTACAAGGGCTGGGCCCATTAATGGGTGTCCCTTTTGCTCCTTCCATGAATTTGCATTGTTTGAAGGTGGTGGATGAGACCAAAGGTGTTTGGCTCACACAGAAAAGCAGGTGTGGAGCAGGTAACTGTCAGCCACCCTGGGACCACACAGGACAGCCGCTCACTCTCTGCTCCCTAACAGATGGCACTACCCCTTCCCCAGTCTTGTGTGCACTTTACTCAGAGCACCTGGGTCTTTGACATCACCATCACCTCAGCCACCACCCACTGTCCCCGCCTGTTATGTTGTGGTGGAACATTAACACACACTCCCTACATGCACACATGCATGCTCACACTCCCAACACACACACCTGCACATACACCCCACGCATGCACACACGTACACACAACACACTCCCTATATGCACACACATATACACACACTTGCAACGCGCAAGCACGTACACACCCATGCCCATTTCACACACACCTGTACACACTGGGGCAGAGGGCAAAATGAGTGTGTGGGGGGGGTGCAGTCGGATGTCAGGACGGTCGTCACCCCGTTAGGTGAGGGAGTAGCCTGGGAGGGAGCAAGGGATGCTTCCAGGGTGATAGTGACGTCAAAATCCATCCACAGTCCCTCTTCAGTGTGTTTACTGAACCTTAGTAAGTTAAGAAAACAGGCGTGAGAATATGAAACCATCTTCTGGGATTCTCGGGAGGCCACAAGTACGCATCGAGAACCTCCGCCCCAGTCCGAGGCTGCGCCCGGGCGCTCGTTTTACGAGCGAAGCGCCGGGCTCGGGCCTCCAGCTAAGCAGCAGTGCCCCCAACGAACTCCTCGGCCCCGCCCCCGGAGTCCCTGCCCCACCTCCGAAGCCCCCCGCTCCGCCCCCGCGCCCCTACCCATCTCGGACCCGCCCCCGGAGCCCATCCCAAGGCCCCGTGCCCCCCGGGGCTCCTCAGCCGCGACCCACGCGTCTCCCGAGACCCTTCGTGTCTCCTGGGTAACGCCCCCAACCCGTCTTGGCCCAGCCCAGTCTCCCGGGCAACAACCCCACCAGTCTCGGCCCCGCCCGGTCCCCGTCGGGTAAACAGGAAGTGCATATGCAAGCAGGGGTCGCTTCCGGCACCACAAGAGGCCTGCGCGATTGTGAACGGCGGCTGGGCGGAGCCAATCGCGGAAGGCGGCTGGGGAAGAGCCAATCCCGAGGGGCGGCGGGCGGTGCGGGCGCGGAGACTGGGACGGGGCTGGCGGGGCGAAACCAATCGGGGCGGCCCGCGGGGCGGGGCCAGGCTTGCCACCCCGGTCGCTGACCGCCGGGTAGGCTGTGGCAGTGGCGGCGGCGGCAGCGGCCGTGTCAGGGTCGCGGACAGGCGTGGCGATGCTGCAGCTGCGGGACTCGGTGGATTCGGAGGGCACGAGCCCCACAGCGGTGCTCGCGGCCGGCGAGGATGTCGGAGCGGGCGGCGGCGGCGGTGGCGGCGGTGGCCGGGCAGGGGCAGGCACCCCACTGCGCCAGACGCTGTGGCCGCTCAGCGTTCACGACCCAACGCGCCGCGCGCGCGTCAAGGAGTACTTTGTGTTCCGGGTGAGGCTGGGACCCCGGGGAAGGGAGGGAGTGTAGGGAGCCTGGGACCCGAGGGAGGAAGACTGCCGGGGCTCGGGCCCCCGCGGAAGTGTGACCTCTGCCCCTTGCCCTGTGCCCCAGCCCGGGACCATCGAGCAGGCTGTGGAGGAGATCCGCGTGGTGGTCCGGCCGGTGGAGGACGGCGAGATCCAGGGGGTGTGGCTGCTGACCGAGTAAGCTTGGCCGCCCGCCTGCGTGGTGGGGGGACCCGGGGCCCGCCCCAGGGAGCCGATGCTCACGCCCAGGTGCAGGCGCGGGAGGAGCTGCTGCGCAACCACATAGCAGCAGCGCCTCTTAAGTGGGACGACCTGCTGGAGGCCGGACTTGCAGAGTGGAAAACGACTCGAGAGAGGCCTCTGCCCAGAACGCTCTGCTGAGCGGGGAAGTGCCTTCGCAGTGCCTGCGCGCCCTTCCTGGCGGAGAAGACGAGACTAACTGCCCTTGGCATGAAGGGTGGGCCTTGGGGCTGCAGGCCTAGCACGGACTGAAGAGAATCGCAGAGTTATTTTCTAAAGGGAAGAGGTGACTCATCCTGTTTGCCTACAGGGTTGATCACTGGAACAACGAGAAGGAGCGCCTGGTGCTCATCACAGATCAGTCGCTGCTCATCTGTAAATACGACTTCATCAATCTCCAGTGCCAGCAGGTGGTCAGAATCGCACTGAACGCTGTGGACACCATTTCCTACGGAGAATTCCAGTTTCCGCCTAAGTCACTGAACAAGTAAGTCTACCCAGAGAATCCAGTGCCACTGAAGTTTTCTGGAGAGGACCTTGTAATGTAACTATCCTCCCATTCCCCTTTTAAAATCAGACTCCAGTGGTTTTCTTGTCTCCATTATATAGCATTGTGTAGAAACATAAAGGGCTACAGCTTCAGAAATCAAAGTAAAGTTTCTTAGAATAGAAGCCCGTGATTTCTGGGCAGCTGAGTGCCCTGAAAGGCATTCTGGCACAAAAGACAGCTATTAGGCCTGCAGCAAAAGTGGTTGGCATAAATTAAAGATATTATTTAAGTAGAGCCCTACATGTTCAAAGCAACCTCATGCAGTCTTCAGTTGAAGGCGAAATCTGACATTTTGTCCATGGTGAGGAAAGGTGTTACATAAACATGTCAATTCTTGTTCTGGTTAAATTTTAAAAGAAGTAAGTAGGACACCACTTCACGTGTACACATTTCTGAATGCTAGGTAAATCTGAAAGTTTAATGACCAACTTTCAAGAATTGATTCTCTTGCTTTAGGAGAATTTTCTGAAATACGAAAAACCTAGACATGAATATAGTCAACTGAATTAAACTCTTATTTTACAGCGTTTTATGTAGAGATTTGGATAGGGACGATTCAGAAAGCTAAGCTGAGTCAAAAATCTTAACCAACATTTAAGAACAAAATTTAAAGTTCTTAAAATGTCACTCATTTAGCTAACCCAACTATAATGTATTTCTGTTACTTACTAAATTTTCATAATCACGTAAAGGTTCGCTTAGCTTAACCAAAAGACTATATTGTTTGTCATTCTTAAAAGCACTTAACATCCTTAAAAGTCATTGTCAATGGAGACTATTAGAATAGTAAAGTGAATTTTATACACTATTACTATGATCACTATCATTACTGAAGCCCACACGCCATGCCCTTGTAACCTGTTTTTAAAGTCCATGGCCTGCTGTGCTGAGTTTGGCTGGTTTCTTCTAATCTTATCAGGCGAGAAGGTTTTGGGCTTCGCATCCAGTGGGACAAGCAGAGTCGCCCTTCCTTCATAAACAGATGGAATCCCTGGTCCACCAATGTGCCCTACACCACCTTCATTGAGCACCCGATGGCTGACGCGGATGAGAAGACCACGTCTCTGTGCCAGGTACAAGGACAGACACTGGATACCAGCGTGTCCACAGAACTTACTACAGTGATGGAGTTTTCTAGATCTGCACTGGCCAATACTGTAGCCACTAGCACATGTGACAACTGAGCACTTGAACTGTGACCAGTGGAACTGAGGAAGTTAACTTGTACTTAATTTTAATGAAATTCAAATAACTGCATGTTGCCAGTGGCTACTGGACAGTGTAGTTCTATAATTTGGCCCTTTGCCATGAAGAAGGGCACTGACCCCTCTGGGCCTCTGCTAGAAAACCTTCAGTCTGGGTGCTTACCATGAGCAGACTGTGTGGGCCAGTGGTTAGAAGAGTCCGGCACCAGAAGTCCACCACTTGTTGATTCCAACTCATAGTGACCCTATAGGACAAAGGAGAACTGCCCCATAGGGTTTCCAAGGAGCTGCTGGTGGTATAGGGGTTAGAATTTGTAACAAATTTTGGGGGGACACAATTCAGTCCATAACAGATCCTCAGGATGTGGCTGCAAAGGCAGCTCATACAAGTGAGGGTACCTAAGGGCCCAGTGAAGAAATATGTGGAGTTTAGAGGATTGAAGGATTTTAGAATGCTAATTTGTCGTGATAATGGATGAATTTTCTCTTGCCTGAAGGTTAAAGCTCAATGCTTTCTTTTTCTTTTAAAAGTTGCAAAGCTTCAAGGCTCTGTTAATCCAAGCTGTCAAAAAAGCCCAGAAAGAGTGTCCTTTGCCAGGAAGAGCAAACGCTGTGCTGATCCTCGAGCGTCCCCTCCTCATCGAGACCTACGTAGGCCTGATGTCCTTCATCAACAATGAGGCCAAACTGGGCTACTCCATGACCAGAGGCAGGATAGGCTTCTAGAGGTGTGCATCGGGCAGTGCCTCCCTGAGAGCCAGGGTGATGTTGGGGCTTGAAGAGTCCACCAGACATGGCTGCTGGCCAGGACCCGAAAACCATTAGGATAGTAAAGTGAATTATATACACTGCACTAGCTGAGTATGGACATCTGGTCGTAGGAGCTACAGACAAAAAGTGAATCTCGCTGCCCCTATACTGGCTGGGATTCCATTTCTGTAATTTGTTTTCCTTGAGTGTATCTATTTGGCTTCTTGTGGTTCTTCCCAACCCAGCCACTCTTGCATGTTAATAAATGTCTCTGTGATTCCAGTAGGACACAATGTTACCCTGGCAGCTGTGTAGACGGATATATACAGGGAGGTACCCAATGTCATCGATACCATCGATAAGGCCTGTAGTTGCAAATGTTTATGCTTGGTGTCAAATTTTGTATTTTGAAATTTAATCCTGTTCTTTCAGCTAAGTGCAAAAGAAGCCAGCAGACTGTTAATAGTCTGTGCCTTGTCAGCTTTGGGATGGATAGTTGCTCTTTGTTAAATATCTGACCTGATGTCCCACTTTTTCTAAAATTAATCTAAATGTGTTAATATATCTTTTTCCAGGCCCAAAAAGGTTTACAGAAAACTCATTTTAAGACAAGTTATCAATTTTCGACAGTCACCTGGATAGCTCTGCATATTCTAGTTTTGCACTGTCCCTTTCGTATTCAAAGGGAGCTGACTTGTTTGCTCTTTAAAGTCTGCACTTTACAAAAGGAGCCCCTGGAGGTGCTCATGAAATGCCAGTGCCCACCTTGGTCACTGGTTTGCATGTAGACTCAGGTTCTGTCCGGGTCTGGCTCTAAACGTGCTCGCACGCTGGGCACCTCTGGCGGGCTCCACACGGGGCTGGAACACGCCTCCTTAGGTTCCCCCTGTACCCTGCACAGCTCGCTCGGCGGAAGCACTTGCCAATAAACTTCACGTGCTGGTGAAGCGGTGTCTTCTTTCTGGTTTCCCACCTCATCGCTTCCAGCTGGTGGACACAGCTGTGGCTGGCAGGCAGCACCTACCCAGGGCAGAAAGCTCACTGGGTCTTATTCTTTGCTTTGGGTCTTTTAGTAAAGACATTTAGAACTATGTGGCTGTTGTTCCTTTTTTTGAAATTATTATTAAAATAGATGCAAGAACACTATTTCTTTGATGAGTATACATTAAAACTACAGATGTTTTCTGGAGGAGCTTTTGTAAACTTGTCCATCAGCTTGCTGTGACATGGACATTCTGAATTCATAGAATGGTACTTACTGATAGAGTCTTCTCTTTGCAAAGGGACAGGTGATGCCTAGCCTTAAATAAGGATAATGAGCAGATCCTGGTTTGGAATCCTAATGGTGCCCTGGTGGCTTTCACCTCAGCTGCCTAGCAGAAGCACCTGAATTGGGGGGGGGCTGGGGCTGGGCGCTGCTAGTCTCATGAACTCCAGTGACTCCAGCACAGCCAAGGCGGGGGGGGGGACTCGCGGCACCGATCCTGGAGCCTAGGTGGACACAGACATCTTGCAGAAATGACTCAATGGTCAGGGACCCACTTTGGCCCCATGCTTGTGGGGACCAGCCAGCGGCTCAGGTCCAGCTCACCCTCCCAGCCAGTCTGAGCACAGCCCTGAAGGTGCTGCAGGCTCTCTTCCTCCCACTCCTCTAAAGCAGACCCCCCCATGGGGGGCTACACCTGCCCCATGTGGAACCCAGGCCCATGTGTGAGGAGCCCAGAGACTAAAAGGAAGAGGACGAGCAAACGCAGGGGGCCTGTCTGGGGGAGGGGGAAGGTGCATGCAGACTGGTTACTCAGGCCTCGGTTATTCTAGGGGAGTCATTTTCCCTAAAACCATGAACCAGAAACTTAAAGCTGGCCTAGAAAATATTTGAGACCTAAACTTCAAGAAAACAAGCATCAATGATTTTATGAGCTAGAAATGTTTATTTTAAGTAATAAAAATTAGTTTCATACCATACATATTTACAAAAATGCCTCACTATAGAAAAATAAATAATTTAACGTGGACGGTCAGAGAGCAGCCCCGACATGCTCTGCTCCTTCCCCTTGTGAGCGGTGCTGAGCTGCTGCTCTGGGCCAGCACAGCACATTTGCCCAGGCCCTCAGGCTGTGCCAGCCCCCTCCTTAGTTTCCAGGAAACACAGGCAGAAGTGGTCCTTGCTGAGGAGGGCCAGGGAGTCCCCACTCAGATGCCAGCACAGGGCGAGCACATGGAAATCACCTGCAGAGACACAGGGTCAATGGGGCCACTGAGGCCCCCAAGGAGCCCTTGTCTAGGGATGAACAGATGCAGCTGCAGGGTACCACTACCCAGGCAGTGGGCCCAGCCAGGCTGGGCCAGGTGAGCCCAAAGCCACCTCGACCTGGGGCCTGGGTCCTCTCTCCTACCATGATCCTCCTCAAAACACCTATAAAACTCAGGTGAGGAGCCAACCTGAATAAGGTGGGCACACTGGGGGTGGACCTGGAGGTTTACCAAAGATGACGAGAACTTCCGTCAACACTCAGGGCAGTAACGTGTTTACATGGTCTCACCCTGTGTCTGATGGCAAGCTGTACAGCAATCTACTGCAGCGCACTCGCCAGCTGGGACAGACTCACCTTCCACAGGCACCTGCACTGACACGCAGCCTGCCGGTGACCACAGGTAGACGCGGCTGCCTCCTGTGCAGATGGCCAGGCGGGCATGCTGCGGGTCCCACTGGAAGGAGCGCACGGGGGCCAGCTGCTCCAGCACCACGAACAGCCTGAGCTTTTGAACGTCCCAGATCCACACGGCGTTTGGGATGTTGTCTGATGAAGCAGTGACAGGTCCCAGTGTTGGCCAGTGCTGCCCCCGACTGAGCCCCACCCATTATCCCTGATATTTGCCCCTTAGATGGGAGCTAAGGAAGCAAGCCATTGTCAGTGTGTGACTTCTGCTCTAGCTGCTGTCACCCTGCATCATGTTTTAGGCCACCGCTCCTGTCCTTCACAGGTCAGCACTCATTCTCTATGAAGGGCCAGTCTTTAGGCACTGCGGGCCACATGTATGTTTTTCTTTGTTGTTTTTTTTTACAACCCTCTGAAAATGTGAAAACCACTCTCAGCTTGTACTGAGAATGGCCTGGACCCCTGCTCTTTACTAAACAGAGAGGAAGAAGTAAGCAGAGCAGAGGGCACCACTGACCGGACCCAATACAGACAGAGACACACACACACACCACCCATAGCCCCGTGTACTGACCGTTCCTTGTTGCCAAGTAGTAGTTGTCAGGGCTGAAGGCCAGCATGCCGACGCCGATCCTGGGGTTTGCCCTGTCGGTGACGGGTTTCAGGGTCTGCAGAGAGACTGGCAGGGAGGCAATCTCGTCTGGAAGAGTGGAGGAAAAGTCACACTGCAGTCACCACACTGAGGCCAACACCTGACCCCACTGTGGGGACAAGCCTAGCCCACAGACAGTCTGTTAACCAGGAGAAAGCTCATCCACTGAGTCCACACGGAAGGAAAACATGCCCTGAACAAAACACAGAGGTGACACTTTAGCCAAATGAGCCTGGTGTGAAAAGAGGCCTACCCACCCCTCCCCAGGAGGGCCATCCCTGAGCTGCTTGAGAACCTGCAGATAACACCCTCCTTCTACAGCATGGTGAGCCAGGAAGAGATGCCTGCAGTGCCCAGAACTGCCTGGCTCCGACTGCATTCAGGTGCGCAGCTCAGGTAGCTCTGATGCTGGACACCTCTCCCCTCCTGACTTCTTAGTTTACAATCTGCTTCAGCCTCCCCTTCACTCTTCTGATTTTGACTTTCCCAACGTAGAAAAGGCCATGTAAGATCAGAAGTGGAGGCTCTGACAAGTTATAAAGCTGGCCCAGGTGAGGTGTGCTGTGGTGCTCCAGAGCCTCTCCCCAGCCCATGGATATTTCCAGAGCCCCAGGAAGGAGCAGCTGCTGTTTCAGGTGTTTCTTCTAGCTTAGAATCCATTCGGGCCCCCAGCATCTCTTTGGGGCAGGTCTTCTATCGTGCCCATTCTACAAATGGAGAAACCAGACACAAGCATGTTCCCCAAGGCCACACAGCCAGAATCCGAATCAGCCAGTGGCCTAGCCTGATCCTTCACCCCTGACAGCCCCCTGGCCCCCTGGCCCCCTTTCTGGCTCACCCTAGAAAATCCTATTATTCATTTAATAGTGCCCTCCAAGTAGCAGCGAGCAAATTTGGATTCCAGAGCTTACATTCAGTCAACAGAACAGTGCATAGGTGGTCAGTCAAGTAATGCAAATGCTGTATAATCTCAAGATTAACGGGTTGAGAGACACTGGCTAGAGGTGGCCCAGGAAGAGCAAGCTGTGTGTACGTGCATGTGTGTGTTTTTAAATAAGCACTATCTGAAGTTTACTTGGACAAGACGGACTCATTTTCATGCACAAAGCCCCTCTGCTCCTTACATTTCGTCTCCATGGTGGAGAGAGGCCTGGCCACTGCTCTCGGGGGTGGGAAGGGAAGGCCCCCCAGCCCCAGTTTCGGACTCTTCTCTGCCTCCCTATAGACAATCTGAAAGACAAAGCACAGCCATGTCCATCGCCAGGCTTACGACAGTGCACGTGGAAGCACCTAGTGAAAAGCCACACGACATAAATGTGAAAAGAGCGAGACACTGACCCCCATCCCCAGTGTTAGATCACGGACCCCCTCACAAGGGAGCTGTGCTGTGTCCATTCAGACATATGGGGATTGCACATTCACTTTTATTTCTCCTAACACCAGTTAATTAGAGGTGGTTAAGGGCTTGGCTGCTAACCAAAAAAGGTCAGCAGTTAGAAACCACCTGCCGTTCCTTGGAAACCCTATGGGGCAGTTCTTCTCTGTCCAGTAGGGTTCCTATGAGTTGGAATCGACTCAAAGGCTACGGATTTTTTTTTTTTTTTTTTTTTTTGTAATATATAAAGAGTTGTTTTATAGTGGAGAAACAATGTTCAAAAAAATCAGGTCCAAAAGACCCAGTCTAAAATAAGGAAAAGCTTATTCACTCTGGGTCACTATACAAAACCGTGATCCCCAGCCAGTTTCCCCAGGAAGGTGCAAACACTGGGAGAGATGGCCCCCCCCAGCAGGAGGACCATGTGGTGGTAAGACAGCACACACAGTGTCCTTCTGTCTGGATGAAGGATCTGAGGAACCAAGGATGAAGACAGAGGCAGGAGTGGGAGGAAGAATGGGTGGCAGGGGAGTCTCGAGAGGCCCAGGGAAAGCAGGCCCAGGCCCTGAGAAGGCTCAGCTCAGAGGCAGGGGCCTCTAGCCTGAGGAGCTCAGAATGAAGGGCTTTTAAAAACGTGCTCTGACTGCACTATAGTGAATGGATTTGGAGAAAAGCTGGAATAAAAGGCAAGCCCTGTCAAGGCCTGCCTGGCTGGTCCGCATGCACTCTGACCTCATCTTCCACGCCTCTTCCACTGCTCCTGGGCCAGGCACATCAGCCTCCGCTGGACCTCAAGTCACTGTCCCACTTCTGGACCTTGAAAAATGGCCTTTCCCTGATACTGTTTGGCTCACTCCTCCCCTCCTCTGGCCCCTCACCTAAGCTTGTACATGCACCCCAGTTGACTCTCCTCCTAGCACACCTTCTCCTTATGTCTTGTTCACTGGCTGGCCCCTCTGCTAGAAAGAAGAGTCCATGAGGGTTGTGATTTTGTCACCCCTGTTCCTGCTGTCGTCCAGCACCTAAAGCAGTGCCTGTGCACTTCCTGTCCCCTCTGCCCAACATGCGTCTTCCCCGGGTGGCTGCATCACTTCTCTCCTGTGTCTGCTCAAACGTTCCACCCTACTGACACGCCAGCTCACCCAGTGCTGGCACCCCCTGCTCATCCCTGCTGAGTCTGTCCCCCTCCACCTTTCTGGCTGTGAGCCCAGAGTCCAGTGCCTAGCAGGACAGTAGATGCTCAGGTGTATGTCACAGGCAGGTGGACAGGCACCTGGTCTACTCCATAGAGGGCAAGAAATAGATAGACCTAAGAATGAGGCATTTGCAGGGAGTAGGGAGAGGAGGGGTACAGTAAAGGAAAAGCTAGGGCAAGGACACTGCTTCCTTTGGGGACCATGGAGAAGCAAAACAGAAGACCAAGGGTAGAGCATGAGATTTAAAATGTAACATTAACAAGCATTTATGATGATTCAAGCCCCTGGTTAAATAATATTTCAATATATAATGTAAAGAGAAAGAGCAGTTTTCCATCCCCACCCAAAAACACTGCTCAACCAGAAACACGAAATGCCACACTTACGATCTTGGGATTGTTAATGGTCACAGGATGCTCAAACTCCGTAATCATCTTCCAAGTCACATGATTTAGAATGCGCACCTGGTTAAAAGAACACCACGAGGTGAGGGTTAGCACCATGGCGGCCCCTTGTGCCCCTGCCCCTGCAACCAGTCCTGAAGAGCAGGTTTTAACCGTGAGCACTGCTGGATCTCACCTTTCCATCGTAGCTTCCAACTGCCAGGAACTGGCTGCTAGGGCTCCAGGCCACAGACTTGATGCCCAGGGACCACTCGTACGCACAGTAGGTCGACAGCAACCGGCCGTCCAAGGAGTACAGGAGGATCTTATACTAAACGAGACATTCCAGTTGTTATTTAAACATCACAGGGAGCCGAGGCATGCAGGAGACAGCCACTGCAGAGTGGGACCGCCCGGACAGCGGGTAGTCGGAAGAGCATGCAATCAAGACTGTCCTGGTGCACGGTGTGGGAACAGTGAGGTCACAGCACTGTCCTCTAGTTAATAAACCAAAACCTGCACAGCAAAGTGAGAGCACTGTGAAAAGGGGGCAACTGGGTGTAAAGCTAATGACTTGCTGCCACTTTCAACTCAACATGTGAAATATGATAAAGTTAACCAAATTGCAGGATTCAAAAAAGCATTAGATAAATAAGCTATAGGTAAAAGTTCTTAGAAGAGAAACTGTATACCAGGTCATTTTTATACCTCCAGGCAGGTGTCCCACACGGCCAGCACACAGCCATTGGGAGCCCACTCAATCCCGACGAGGTCCTGGGTGTCGGTCTCAAAGTGCTTCCAAAGGAAGATGGAAAGACAGATTAAAATCTGGAAATATTTTCTTAGGCAGGCCATTGCATTTATTTTATAACTGAGGTTTTCAACACGTTTGAATCTCATTTTCTTATACAGAAATGGGCACTAACATCTAAACTCTGCCTTCTTCCACGCTGAAGAGGTTCTGCACAGGGACCAGTCAGCCAGGGTCTGGCAGTCCCGTTGACCCCATGAGACGGCTTCTGGTTGGGTTCTGCCACGCTTAAGCTATTCCCCTGCCTAGACACCATCCTCACCCTCTCTTGCCAGGCTAAGTCTTACTCCTTTAAGAGCCAGCTCAGACAAGATCCCTTCCAGGAACACTTCTCTTGACACTGGTTGATGAGGGGCCCTCCTCTGTGCTAACAGCATTCCAGAAGTATCTCCATGTGAACACTTGATCACCCTGAAAGCACCTGCCCCACCTTCGGACTACAAGCACCTTGAGGGTTGGGCTAAGTACCCTCAGCACAAAGTAGGCACTTAGTAGACACTTAGCCAAGGTCAAATTCAATTTTACTCCTCCTCCTAATAGGGCATACATATATGCAAATACCAAATTAAACACAGAAAAAAGAAAAACAGCTCAAATCTGTTGGCATCTGTAGCACCCAACATGCTCCATTTTCACCAAGTCTTGCAAACACTTGGCCAGCAGGTGAAGTTACACACAGCACCTTTGCCCTCTGGGAACAGGAAACCACACTGTCCCACATGACACCAAAGGTCCCTAGAATCTTAAAGATACACATCTCACCCGCCTCCTCCCCAGTCAACAGGACCACTTTATCCCAGCTGGCAGACGAAACGTCTTACCCTCAGGAGCTGCCAGTCACTGCAAACAAAGATGCTGATGTAGTCCTTGCAGTCCCGCCTCTCTGCCAGTGCCATGTAGCGGCCATCCCTGGTGAAGGTGATTCCTACCAGACAGATTAAGATGTGCTGACATCAAGAAGTAGCTAACTACAGGAGTCATTTTCCAAGAAGAACAAGGAAAAGAAAGCAGAGGTCAAAAGAAGCACAAATGCAGAACAATGCACTTCTTTAGACAAACAAGTATATTCTGTTTACACAGAAGAAACAATTAAGGCAGTGGTGGTCTCTCTATTACAGGATGGTGAAGACAGGGATGTTCTAGTTCATTTAACACGCACGCACACACGCACGCACGCGCGCGCACACACACACACACAGGACCAATTTGCAAGGAATCTTTGAATAATATAATACCACCTAATCTAACCTCTGATGAGTCATAAAAAAATCACTGAAAAATACAGTGCCTTATGAATTACCATATTTTCAGAAAATAAACTGCAGGAAATCCTGAGGTATTTTCAGCTAATAAAAAGCCAGCTTCTTACTACATTTCTTATTTTTTACTTTGGAGTTTAATTATTTGGAAGAAATACATTTAAGATAAGAAGCTGGAAGTAAAGTGGTTAAAAAGATGCATCTCTATTTTCCGGTTCTGTATTAGCTCAAAAGGCCTTCGCCAAACTGAACGCTGCATGAGTGAGAAGAGCACGCCAGTAACAAAACTACTGCTCCACCCGATAAACGTGTGTGTGGCCTGGAGGTACAACAGAGTTCAAACTGTAGGAATTAAAACATACAACTGCATTTCATTCAAATGCAATTTCCAAATTTCTAACAGCAACAGAGAAAAATGAAAATGTTATTCAAATTATGTAATGCACTCACTCTGATTATTAAACAAAAGAGACATATTGTAATTTCATGATTTAAGAGTGGGACATCCAATTAGCTCTAAATTGCGCAATTACACCCTGCTGCTGGCATGCTCTGTCCAAGCCTTTCCTCCAGATGGCTTGGAATAACCACCGGCCACTTCTCATTTATCCCTCCTCTGTGAAGACCGCAGAGGGGCCCTGGTGGCGCAGTGGTTAAGAGCTCGGCTACTAACCAACAGGTTGCAGTCTGAATCCACCAGCCACTCCTTAGAAACCCTATGGGGCAGTTCTACTCTGTCCTATAGGGTTGCTATGAGTCAGAATGACGGCAACCAGACTTTTTTTGGTGATGCCCACAGGCCATAGGTTACAATCTGCTGTTTACAAAGAGATTACAGACTTAGTCAAGAGAAGAGATTTAAAATTCAGAATTTGATGCTTGAGATGGGATCTCTTGACAGGCATCAACAGGAAGGGACTGGAACAGCCAATTCTGCAACCAAGGTAAATGCAATGATCTGCAAATTTCAATCTTCTTTGATGCCACTGTAAAAATATCCTCTCTAGTCACTGTGATTATGTTTTAAATTGGACTTTGTTGTTTGGAGATACAAAAGATATTTATAGATAAAGTATTAAGAGGTCTGGGATATACTTAAGGAGCCGTGGTGGCGCAGTGGTTCAGCATTCAGCTGCTAACCAAAAGGTCAGTGGCTGGAACCCACCAGCCACACCATGGGAGAAAGATATGGCAGTCTGCTTCCATAAAGATTTACAGCCTTGTAAACCCTATGGGCAGGTCTACTGCGTCCTACAGGGTCACTATGAGTTGAAATCAACTCGACGGCAACAGGTTAGGTTTTGGTGTTTTTAATTTTTGTGGGGAAGGATATACTTAATCCAAGGGGTAGGGTAGGTATAGAGGAAAAAAAGACTGGCTATGAGTTTCAACCAACAGATGCAGTGCTGGAGGTGCTCACTCATCTATGACAAGAAATTTGGAAGACAGCTACCTGGTCTACCGACTGGAAGAAATACATTATTTGTGCCTTCCAAAGAAAGGTGATCCAACAGAATGCAGGCATTATCAAATAATATCATTAATATCACACACAAGTAAAATTTTGCTGAAGATCATTCAAAAGCGGTTGCAGCAGTACATCGACAAGGAACTGCCAGAAATTCAAGCTGGATTCAGAAGAGCATGTGGAATAAGGAATATCATTGCTGATGTCAGATGGCTCTTGGCTGAAAGCAGAGAATACCAGAAAGATGTTTACCTGTGTTTTATTAACTATGCAAAGGCATTCGACCGTGTGGATCATAACAAATGATGGATAACATTGCCAAGAATGGGAATTCCAGAACACTTAATTGTGCTCATTCAGAACCTGTATACAGACCATGAGGCAGCTATTCAAAAACAGAACAAGGGGATACTGCATGGTTTAAAATCAGGAAAAGCGTGCATCAGGATTGTATTCTTTCACTGTACTTATTTAATCTGTATGCTGAGCAAATAATCGAGAAGCTGAACTATATGAAGAACACAGTATCAGGACTGGAGGAAGACGCATTAACAACCTGCATTATGCAGATGACACAACCTTCCTTGCTGAAAGTGAAGAGGACTTGAAGCACTTACTGATGAAGATCAAAGACTAGTCTTCAGTATGGATTATACCTCAACATAAAGAAAATAAAAATCCTCAAAACTGGACCAACAAGTAACACCATAAGTGGAGAAAAGATTGATGTTGTCAAGGATTTCATTTTACTTGGATCCACAATCAACACCCACGGAAGCAGCACTCAAGAAATCAAACAACATACTGCATCTGGCAAATCTGCTGCAAAAGACCTCTTTAAAGTGTTAAAAAGCAGAGATGTTTGAGGACTAAAGTGCGCCTGACCCAAGCCATGGTATTTTCAATCACCTCATAGGCATACAAAAGGTGGACAATGAGTAAGGAAGACTGAAGAAGAATTAATGCCTTGGAATTATGGTGTTGGTGGAGAATATGTAATATACCATGGACTGCCAGAAGAATGAACAAATCTGTCTTGGAAGAAGTACGACCAGAATGCTCCTTAGAAGTGAGGATGGCGAGTCTTTGTCTCACGTACTTTGGACATGTTATCAGAAGGGACCAGTCCCTGGAGAAGGACATCATGCTTGGTAAAGTAGAGGGTTTAGAAAGAGAGGAAGACCCTCAACAAGATGGAATGACACAGTGGCTGCAATGATGGGCTTGAGCACAGCAAGGATTATGAGGATGGTGCAAGACAGGGCAGTGTTTCATTCTGTTGTACACAGGGTCGTTATGAGTCAGAACCGACTAGACACCACCTGACAACAACAACTAATAACGTGAGTTGATAAACTGTTAAAGCTACTTTTGCACACGTTTGATAGTTCAGTGATAAAAAGGTTACAAAAAACTACAAAGAAATAGCTTTAGAATAGGAGTGACGTACTCACCCTGTTGACAAGCTTTAGGATATTTGATGTAAGATATAGACTTTGTACACAAGGACCAGACAGTTATCCGCAGCTGTTGGGAAAAAAGAGAAAAGAAAAAGGGCAACAGTATATACTTAACATTTTTATAAAGATCATTTCAGACCCTCAGTACCCAAGTAATAGATTTGCTGCTAAAGTGGAAAATAGTTCCATGGATGTTTTCCCTCTTAAGAGAAGTATCCAAACTAACATTTTACTATTGTTGAAGCAAATTTAATGCTCTTAGTATTTCGTTTTCATTGTATAACAATATTACCTGAGTGACACAAAGAGTTAAATATAAATGAATTTTAGTTAGCTATTTCAAAGTAATCAAAGTTTGCACACTACGTTGTTGTCAGGTGCTGTCAAGTTGGTTCTGACTCACAGTGACCCCATGCACAAGAGAATGAACTATAGTAAGCCTGAAAAAAGGTTATTTAGTCAGAGAAGACTCTTTGTATACATGACAACGTTCTATGTCCTCCGTGCTTGTGAATGAACATGAATGGCTCTGTAGCTCAGATCTGGGCCCCTGCTTCATAAGACAGCTGTGCGTGGTGCCTACAGCACACAGCAAGAAGGCTCAGTGATCAGACAGGGAGGTCAACCTGACCCCTATGAGTTGGTCTTACCATGCTGGCTGCTCCTGCAGGAGGACCTGTGGAGTGACCACTGTCAGCTACTCCCCACCTCTGCTCTCCTCTCCCTCACACAGGTAGTGGAGAGCTGACTAGCATTGCACAAAAAGCCTGCAAGTAGGCAATGTCCTAACACAGATCACCAAGAGTCGGCCACTGCAGAGACCCAAACTGGGCACCTCAGGGAGAAACACAAGATCTTTTGCATTTTCATTTTAAAATGTTTATAACATTTGATATACACAAAATATACGTAACGTGTAAATTAGGAGTCCCTGGCGTAGTGGTTAGGTGCTACGGCTGCTAACCAAAAGGTTGGCAGTTCAAATCCACCAAGTGCTCTTTGGAAACTCTATGGGACAGTTCTACTCTGTCCTATAGGGTCGCTATGGGTCAGAAACGACTCGACGGCAATGGGTGGGTGGTGCAAATGGTTAAGTGCTCGACTACTAGCTGAAAGGTTAGAGATTTGAGTCCACCCAGAGGTGCCTCAGAACAAAGGACTGGCAATCTGCTTCTGAAAAATCAGCCATTGAAAACCCTATGGAGCCCAGTTCTACTCTGACACAAATGGGGTTACTGTGAGTCGGAATTGACTTGATGGCAAGTGGTTTGGGTTTTTTTTTGTTTTATGTGTAAATTGTAAATTAAAAAAATAGCAAGCACTCAAATACACTGCCTACAAATGCATTTAATATTGAATTTCTACAAACTTCTAAAGCCCCTCTCCCTGGACCCCTTACAGAGCCATGAAAACAAATAATCTCCCCTGAAAAGAATTCCCAAATTCTTATTTCTGAAAATGTCCTCCATCCCCCTGGTTAAGCAGGTAACTTTGGAAGGTTACTGATTTCTAGGTTCCCATGACAACTCTGCAGCTGCACAGAGAGAAAGCACTAGCACACCTCCACACAGAAGAGGCCCAGCTGGGTAGTTCTAACAAGCAGAGCTCAGATGTCAGATGAAATAATGAACATGGGCAAATCTAGGTTTCGATTAGGCACCACTCTAGGATGAGGAACATGGGCTGGACCCTGCTCTCAATCAGAGAAGTGTAGCTTTAAAAAACCCGCAGGACTCCTCTGAGGTAAAAACGCAGAGCTCCACATTTCTATACCAAGTGTGACTCCTGCAAGCTAGGCCAGTCTTTAGGTTAGGTGGTTAAAAAGTGAATGAACAAATCTTCCCCACATCATCTCTTCTTAGAAAAGAAAGTCTGATGTCTGTGGCTGCCTCTCTGGACACCTCACACACACTTGGGGAGAAGTTCTGGAAACAACCTCCTGAAGCAGACAAACAGGCTCCAGATGATGGCTATGGCGCTCTGGGCACGGCATCTGTGCTAATGTTCAAGTGAAGCATGCACCGGCTCTTCTACGGCGATGGCATCAACACTAAGATGCACAGACCAGGGCTCATTGTATGAATCTGGTTTTTTCTATTTGAAGAGGAAAGTGTCTATTTCCTCTAACACAACTGACACATTCGAGGCCCTGGAATAGCAAAGTCAAGGAGGCCATCGCGGTGTAAACTGAGGAAAATGCAGATTTCCAACCCAGCAGATCTGGTACGAAACCCTAACCATGACACTTACTGCCAGCAGGAGCTCGGCCAAGTGACCTGACTTCGAGCTTCAGAAGTGTTTTTATTTGTAAAACAGAACACTGACCTTTCAGGGCTACCTTGGTGATCAGACGAGAAAATGAAAGTAGGTGTACACAGCAAGTTTCTCAGTGAGCAGCATCTATTGCTACAGATTACTAGAGTATACGGAGTTGAGGGGCATTTGTCAGTGAGACACACTCAAGAATGGCAGGAAACACATAGAGCACCCTAAGACTGATTTTTACCATTTGTCCACTACCAAAAAAAAAAAAAAAAAGAGACAACTCTTTCTAACTTTAAAAAATTCATTACGAAAGGCAGAGGTAGTTGAACACGTGCCTCCATCAACTCTATTAATATCAGCTGCATGACTGGAGAAACAAGCACCCACCAGTGGCATTAAGGTGATCACAAACAGACCCTGTCCTGCCCACTGTCCCCTAGACCAACACCTGACAAGCTATGTCAGGGCCATCTCCTGGGCTGAGGCCTTATACTGGCATCTCTACCAAAACCCTTGGTTCAAAGAGAGACACAGCACTGCGCACAATGCTGTTCACAGACAATGATGGGGCTTAACCTAAGATTTTAGTTCACTTTTTACAAACTCATTGGTCCAACAACTCTTCAAGAGGCTACGTTAGTCTTTCAGGAGAACTTCACAATCATATCCTGAGATGCATTATGCTTTCAAGTATTATCATATTTAAGTATAAGCTGAAATGTTAATTGCAAGAGAACATTCATTTTTGAAACATGATTAATTTTTTCATCTCACTCCTTTTCCATAATATTTTCAAGTTTTCTTGACAGAGTGAAAAATAAGCACATTTTTATTACTTTATTGGTATTTCCTATGCTGCTGGCAAACTGGAAAATTCCAGTACGTAAGCAAAAATACTTAAAATGACCTTTTCCAACTTAGATGGCTTGAAAAATTAACACAACAAATACAGCAATTTGTAGCAGCTCATCTGAATTCTTCACCATAATAAGAAATGAGGGTGATATCACTATTTTGTTAGAAGTGAAATATATTTAGAGGTCAAATATATCCATGTGTAAGTATATAGATCTTAGTGAATTCCAAAGTCAAAGATGCCCTTGCATTAATACAAATAATCAAGAGCTGACTAAAGCAAAATTAAAAACTTACGGAAAAATTTTACAAAATATGTACAAGATCTATGCATTGGAAATATTGCTTGGAAAAATTTTAAAAGACTTAAATAAACAGAGAGCTATATCATGTTCATAGATCCAAAGACTCAATGCTTTTTATGTCAATCACTCCCAAATTGGTCTCCAGAGTCAATGCAATCTCAAATTGACAAACTTATTCTAAAATTTATAAGGAAATGTCAAGGATCTAGAATGGCCAAACAACTTTGAAAAAGAAGAACAAAGTTGGAAAACTCACACTGACTGATTTTCCAGACTTATGATAAAGCTACCATAATCAAGAGAGCATGGTATTAGCACAAAGATAGACATACAGATCAATGGAACAAAATGGAGAGTCCAGAAACTGACATACACATGGACAAATGATTTTCAACAAATGTGCAAAGGCAATTCTGTGGAGAAAGAAATAAATTCAAAATGAATCATACCTCTAAACTTAACAGATAAAACTTCTAGAAGAAAACAAAAAAAAATTCTTTGTGATCCTGGTTTAGGCAAAGATTTCTTATACAGGACACAAAATGCACAAATCATAAAAGAATAAAATTGATCCATTAGAGTCCATCAAAATTAAAATGTTCTGCTTTTCAAAAGAAACTTAAGAAAGTGATAAAGGCAAGCCAGTGCTTGGATACCACTAATGACGGTTCTGATTAGGGTCACATTAGATGGATCCTGATAGAATGGGAGAAACATGTGGGACAGAACTCAAATTCTTCAAAAGTCCAGACTTAACTGAACCAGTTAAGATTAGAGTACTCCCCAAGACTATTGTCCCGATATACACCCTTTAAACCTTGAACCACAACTATCCCGAGGTCACCTTTTTAGCTAAATAACAGATTGACTCATAAAATAAAGAATATCACCTGTGAATACCACGATCCTTTAGAAAAAAAACATCTATATGATGCCAGTCACCAAACAGTCAACAATGACTCTAAAGCAAAGATGAGAATGGGGCAGGGAAACTAGATTACTGGAAATAGAACAACCAGAACAGAAATAATGAGAATGTTGACACATTGTGAAAAATGCAACCAATGTCACTGAATAATCTGCAGAAATTGTTAAACAGGAACATAATTTGCTGTGTAAACTTTCACCAGAAACATTATTTAAAACCAAAAAACTGGGCAAGAATATTCTATAGCAATACTTAGGGGTTTTTAATGCTCTGAAGCCTTAGATATACATATTACTCCAAGAAACACCCACTTGAAAGCGCCTAAGCTATTTTAGGAGTGAGAGGTGCAAAGTCTCACTTTACTAATGAAGTGGATTCAGGGAGCCACACTTACGTGGAACTCAGTTGTGTTGAGGATGTGGCGACCATCCGGGCTCCAGCACGAAGCCACCAGCCCTGCCGAGCCCTCGTCTATCTTGCAGTGCCAATCTGGCTGTTCCAAAGACCAGACCTAGATTCACGAAAGAGAAACACAGGATTGCAAACTAATCAGAACACCAGAGCGACTTCTCTCCAAGGACAGCACGTAGCTTTAAAGAACTGAATGAACATCAACTGCATCTAGTCAAAGCACGGGGTATCTTTAGAAATCTTTCATTATGAAGGACTGGGGCTAGATTCTACCACAAAAGCAAGCCATATGGCTTGGTATTTCATTTTGTTTTTACTGTTGTTTAAACTGCTTACTCACTTTGCCATCCCTAATACCTCATTTAGCTAAACTTCAGGTCCATAACAAAATTCCATCTTAGCACTTCCTAAAATACATAATGCCCAAGCTGCTAGACAGCTGTCTGCAAACACTTCCTGTTACTGAGTTATACTCACTGACAATATTTTGGAGCTTGCTCATTTAAAAAGTACTTAAACTATAAAAGAGCTATGAAATTTTAAAAGAAACTGGCTTTGAACTGCATTACCTTTTTATTTTTTAAACTAGAAGGGCATAGGGCAAACCATCCTTCCCAGTGACATTCCTGGGAGGGGTTTCACCATTCCCACCAGGACAGCCAGCACTAACCTGCACAAGCCCTCGTTTGTACATGGCGCACAGGATAAAGAGCGAGTCGGCCGACCACTCTATGTGCTGGATCTGGTCCAGGCATGTGTAGAGCTGAAGGATCTGAAGTGTGTTCACATCTCGGACCACTAGACGGTACTGTACACACGAAGCCTAAAAATGAAAATACAGCACTTAATGTTCCATATTCTAAAGTGAGCTTTCAGGGTGTAAAAACTCCCGTGTGCAGTAACTGTTCCCTTCCCAACTTTTAGACATGCTTTCTATCTAGCTATTTTTATGTATATCAAGTATGTGACCCATTATAAAAATAAGACTAATAAAGATTGAACTGAAACACACAAACTAGGTTTTAAAATTTTGTTATCCTCTAGTCTAAAAGTATAAGATTATTTTTAAGCTCTCTATTTAATTTTCTGGAGTCCCTGGGTGGTAAAACAGCTTATGCACTCAGCTGCTAACCAAAAGGTTGGTGGTTCAAGTCCACTCAGAGGTGCCTCAGAAGAAAGGCTTGGCAATCTACTTCCAAAAAATCACTATGAAGCACAGTTCTACTCTGACACACATGGGATTGCCAGGAGTCAGAATCAAGTTGGCAGTAACTGGAACTTAAATTTCTACTCCTTTCTTAATTATACATTAAAAACTAAACTCAAGTAGAAAACAGAACTGGGTAAAAGATCTACTTGTGAACTAATAACGAACTTGTCTCCTAGTTTTGTCAATTTTAGACAATTTCCTTGAATTTATAAAAGGTAAGAACAGAGGTCTCAAAGTTACCGACAAGAACCACAAAAATGCCTTTTGTGATGTCGAACTCAGAGCCAAACCAATAGAAGGTCAGTATTTCTTCCTGTCCATATTTGTTAATAATGTCCACATCTAAGCAAACAGTTATACACAGACAGAAATTATTTGCTTAGATATGGACTAATAACCCAAGCTCTGGGGTCAGGATGCAGATAGGGCCTCGCGCCCCCCAGCTGCGGGACCCAAGCTGTCCCAGCCCCGCTGCCCCTCAGGCCACTTCACAAAAGGCAGGTAGAAGCAGTGCCTGTCTCCACTGGGGACTTTGCAGGGCTGAAGTGAGGTGGTGCCAGTGTAGTATGTGGGGGCAGTGACACGTTGTTAGGCTGTCACAGAAAGGTAAATGTATAGTAACTCTGTTAGCTTGTAAGCTGGTGAGTGGTGCAGCTACTTTCTGTCATCTTCTCCAACTCTCCTCATCCGTTCTCCCCAGGTGTGGAGTAAATAATTTATACTACCTACCATTCTATCCTAGGAGCCCTAGTTAAGCGTTGGGCTGCTAATGGAAACGCTGGCAGTTGGAACCAGGGCTCTAACTGGTTCTGCCTGGTTCAGTCATGGCCATGGAAACAAAATCAGAACAGACTTTGAGTTTTTAAAATTTAGGTGAAGAGGAACCATAAGGGGAATGGAAAAAATTACAGGTCGAAGCCCTGGAATGGGAGACTCGGAAGAGGTGTAGTGAGCTCTTTCAGAAGCCTGATGTGTGGGACTTGATGACTGTGGAGATTGACACACATTCAAAGCATTCGCTGCTGTCTTTGAGTAGCAGGTGCACTACTATTTCTGACTCCACAGTCAAGAGATTTGGTTGCTATGCAACGGGGAGGCTACCCTCATTTTCTAAGAGAGAAATTAACTTTCTAGCAGGGCTTCAACCCATAATCTTTCCTGTTCTGCTTCACCCATATTTAAAAAATTCAGGTCCTTTTGGGTTTCCCTTCGTCGGCCATGACTGAAGCAAGCAGAACTGTTTCGAAGCCCTGGTTCGAACACACCCAGCAGCTCTGCAGAAGAAAAACCTGGCAATCTGCTCCCCTACAGATAGGTATACACAGACATTAATGTTTACTGCTTCATACCTAGTCAATCTGTATGCTGAGCAAATAATCCGAGAAGCTGGACTATATGAAGAAAAACGAGGCATCAGGATTGAAGGAAGACTCATTAACAACCTGCGTTATATATATGACACAACCTTGCTTTCTGAAAGTGAAAAGGACTTGAAGCATTTACTAATGAAGATCAAAGACCATAGCCTTCAGTATGGATTACACCTCAACATAAAGAAAACAAAAATCCTCACAACTGGACCAACAAGCAACATCATGATAAACGGAGAAAAGACTGAAGTTGTCAAGAATTTCATTTTACTTGGATCCACAATCAATACCCATGGAAGCGGCAGTCAAAAAATCAAAAGACGCATTACATTGGGCAAATCGGCTGCAAAAGACCTCTTTAAAGTGTTGAAAAGCAAAGATGTCACCTTGAGGACTAAGGTGAGCGTGACCCAAGCCATGGTGTTTTCAATCACCTCATATGCATGGGAAAGCTGGGCAATGAATAAGGAAGACCAAAGAAGAACTGACGCCTTTGAATTGTGGTGTTGGCAAAGAATACTGAATATACCGTGGACCGCCAAAAGAATGAACAAATCTGTCTTGAAGGAAGTACAACCAGAATGCTCCTTAGAGAGAAGGATGGCGAGACTACATCTCTCATACTTTGAACATGTTATCAGGAGGGATCAGTCCCTAGAGAAGGACATCATGCTTGGTAAAGCAGAGGGTCAGCGAAAAAGAGGAAGATCCTCAACGAGATGGACTGATAACAGTAGCTGCAACAACGGGCTCAAGCACAGCAACGATTATAAGGATGGCACAGGACCGGGTAATGTTTTGTTCTGTTGTGCATAGGGTCACTATGAGTCAGAACCAACCTGAGGGTACCTAACAACATTTTTAAAAGGTCACATGTGTTTTCCACAGAAAAAGGACAGAAGAGAACAATTACAGATTGGAATAAATACGTATCACAGTACTTATATTTTCACACTGTAGCTATGAAAACTCTGATCAGATACAATTAATTGTTTATTAAACAGAGTATTTTTACAAACACTTGGAAATAATATAAAATCTGTTGCAAATAAAAATGGCAACATGTACTTTTTCTCATATTTAGGCCAGAACTTTCAAGAACATGATTCTAGTATCAAATTATTATCAAGTTTCTCACAATATTTTGATCACAGTGTAAAATAAAAAAAAAAAGTGCCAAATTTAAGCATGCCAGTTTGTCGTACTGTGGGAGCTTGCGTGTTGCTGGGATGCTGGAAACTATGCCACTGGTATTCAAAAACCAGCAGGGTCACCCATGGTGGACAGGTTTCAGCAGAGCTTCCAGACTAAGACAGACTAAGAAGAAGGACCTCGCGGTCTACTTCTGAAAAAAATTAGCCAGTGAAAACCCTATGAATAGCAGTGGAATACTGTTGATACAGTGCCGGAAGATGAGCCCCTCAGATTGGAAGGCACTCAAAAGACAACTGGGGAAGAGCTGCCTCCTCAAAATAGAGTCAATTTTAATAACACGGATGGAGTCAAGCTTTTGAGACCTTCATCTGCTAAGGCAGCATAACTCAAAATGAGAAGAAACAGCTACAAACACCCATTAATAATCAGAATGTGGAATGTATGAAGTATGAATCTAGGAAAACTGGAAATAATCAAAAAATGAAATGGATCGCATAAACATTTATACCCTAGGCATTAGTGAGCCGAAATGGACTGGTACTGACCTTTTGAGTCGAACAATCGTATGGTCTACTATGCTGGGAAGGACAAGTTGAAGGGGAATGGAGTCATGTTCATCATCAAAAAGAACATTTCAAGATCTATCTTAAAGTACAAAGCTTTCAGTGATAGGATAATATTCATACGCTTACAACGAAGACCAGTTAATACAACTATTATTCAAACTTACGCACCAACTACTAAAGCCATAGATGAAGAAACTGAAGATCTTTACCAACTTCTGCAGCCTGAAATTGATCGAACATGCAATCAGGATTGGATTGGAATACGAAAGTTGTAAACAAAGAAGGATCAGGAGTTGGAAAATATGGCGTTAATGATAGAAATGATGTCGAAGACTGCATGACAGAATTTTCCAAGACCAACGACTTCTTCACTGCAAATAGCATTTGTCAGCATCATAAATGGTGACTATATACCAGATGGAATACATAGGAATCAAATCAACTACATCTGTGGAAAGAGACCATGGAAAAGCTCAGCATAATCAGAACAAGGCCAGGAGCCAACTGCAGAACAGACCATCAATTGCTCATATGCAAGTTCAAGTTGAAGCTGAAGAAAATTACAAGTCCACGAGAGCCAAAGTATGACCTTCAGTATATCCCACCTGAATTTAGAGATCATTTCAAGAACAGATTTGATGCACTGAACACTAATGACTGAAGACCAGACGAGTTGTGGAACGACATCAAGGACATTATACATGAAGAAAGAAAGACGTCATTAAAAAGACAGGAAAGAAAAGACCAAAATGGATGTCAGAAAAGACTCTGAAACTGCCTTTTAAATGTCAAGTAGCTAAAGCAAATGAAAGAAATGATGAAGTAAAAGAGCTGAACAGAAGATTTCAAAGGGCTGCTTGAGAAGACAAAGTAAAATATTATAATGACACATGCAGAAACCTGAAGTTAGAAAACCGAAAGGGAAGAACATGCTCAGCATTTCTCAAGCTGAAAGAAGTGAAGAAAAAATTTAAGCCTCGAGTTGCAGTAGTGAAGGACTCCATGGGCAAAATACTGAATTATATAGGTAGCATCAAAAGAAGATGGAAGGAATAGACAGGGCACTGTACCAAAAAGAAGTGATCAATGTTCAACCATTTCAGAAGGTAGCATATGCTCAAGAACCAATGGTATTGAAGGAAGAAGTCCAAGCTGTACTGAAGACACTGGCAAAAAATAAGGCTCCAGGAATTGACAGAATACCAATTGAGATGTTTCAACAAATGGATGCAGTGCTAGAAGTGCTCATTCGTCTATGCCAAGACATTTGGAAGACAGCTACCTGGCCAACCAACTGGAAGAGATCCATATTTATGCCTATTCCAAAAAAAGGTGATCCAACCAAAGGCGGAAATGATAGAACAATATCATTAACATCACTCGGAAGTAAAATTTTGATGAAGATCATTCAAAAGCAACTGCAGCAGTACATCGACAGGGAACTGCCAGAAATTCAAGCCAGATTCAGAAGAGGACATGGAACAAGGAATATCACTGCTGATGTCAGATGGATCCTGGCTGAAAGCAGAGAACACCAGAAAGATGTTTACTTGTGTTTTATAGACTATGCAAAGGCATTCGACTGTGTGGACCATAACAAACTATGGATAACATTGCAAAGAATGGGAATTCTAGAACACTTAATTGTGCTCATGAGGAACCTGTACATAGATCAAGAGGCAGCTGTTTGGACAGAACAAGGGGACACTGCATGGTTTAAAGTCAGGAAAGGTGTGCAACAGGGTTGTATCCTTTTACTATACTTACTCAATCTGTATGCTGAGCAAATAATCTGAGAAGCTGGACTATATGAAGAAAAACAGGGCATGAGGATTGGAGGAAGACTCATTAACAATCTGCGTTATGTATATAACACAACCTTGCTTTCTGAAAGTGAAAAGGACTTGAAGCACTTACTGATGAAGATCAAAGACTACAGTCTCCAGTATGGATTACACCTCAACATAAAACAAAAATCCTCACAACTAGACCAATATACAACATCATGACAAACGGAGAAAGGATTGAAGTTGTCAAGGATTTCATTTTACTTGGATCCACAGTCAATACCCATGGAAGCAGCAGTCAAGAAATCAAAGGACACATTGCACTGGGCAAATCTGCTGCAAGAGACATCTTTAAAGTGTTAAAAAGCAAAGATATCACCTTAAAGACTAAGGTGTGCCTGACCCAAGCCATGGTGTTTTCAATCACCTCATATGCATGGGAAAGCTGGGCAATGAATAAGGAAGAATGAAGAACTGATGCCTTTGAATTATGATGTTGCCAAAGAATACTGACTATACCATGGACTGCCAAAAGAACAAACAAATCTGTCTTGGAAGAAATACAGCCAGAATGCTCCTTAGAAGCAACAATGGCAAGACTTCGTCTCACGTACTTTGGACACGTTATTAGGAGGGATCAGTCCCTGGAAAAGGACATCATACCTGGTAAAGTACAGGGTCAGAGAAAAAAAGGAAGACCTTCAACGAGATTCATTGACATGGTGGCTGCAACAATGTGCTCAAGCATAGCAACGATTGTGAGGATGGCGCAGGACTGGGTAGTGTTTCGTTCTGTTGTGCACAGGGTCACTCTGAGTCAGAACTGACTCGACAGCACCTAACAACAACAAAACTTTAACTCGTATTTAGGCCAGAGCTTTCAAAAACATGATTCTAGTATCAGATTATTATCAAGTTTCTGACAATATTTTGATCAGGGTGTAAAGGCAAAAGAAAGGGTCAAATTTAAGCATGCAAACATAACCTTTCTCTTTATAATTTACTGGAATTTCTATAAATGGTTAAAAAAAAAACTAATTTATATTGGGCACTTTGAAAAATATACCAAGGTTTTTAACATGTCATTTAAGCTAATGACATTTTCAATTTTGTAGCTGAATGCTATTTTATGTATTCTACAATACCCCTATAAAGAAGGTAAAAATGTAACTTGAGAGTTATATTCTCAAAGACCTAGACCAGGACAACAGGAACGTTAATCGAGGCTCAAACACAAAGAGTCATGAAGCATTGTCTATTAATAGAGTAGTGTAAATGAAACTAAATACGTGGTCTAAAAGTAATGATTTTCTTTTTCTTAATAGCTTTTCAATGCCAATTACACCCACTCTCCCACGATTCTGAGGATATACAGCAGTCAAAATGGCATATTTTGAAAGTTAAGTTTCATGCTCAGAATAGCTCAATTGATTTAAGCACCCATGGAATGAACACCTCTGATAACTATTTTCATCTAGGGATAGAAGGCTTTTGTTACTGTTGTTAGGTGCCATCTAGTGGATTTTTGACTCACAGCGACCCCACGTTACAGAGCAGAAGTGCTCCACAGGGTTTTCTATGATGTAATCTTTAGGCCAGCAGATTGCCAGGCCTTTCTCCTGCAGAGCCACTGGGTGTGTTCAAACCAGGGCTTAGAACCTGTTCTGCCCAGTTCAGTCATGGCCAACGAAAGAAGGGAAACCCGAAAGGACCTGGATTTTTAAAATGTGGGTGAAGCAGAACGGGAAAGGCTATGGGGGAAGCCCTGCTAGAAACTTAATCTCTCTCTTAGAAAACAAGGGCAGCCTACGGGTTGCACAGCAACCAAATCTCTTGACCTGCAGAGTCCAAGAAACAGCAGTTGGCAGGCTGCTCCAAGATGGCAGCTAGCTGCCACTTTGAATGTGGGTCGATCTCCACAGTCTGGCCAATAATCCAATCTCACACATCAGGTTCCTGAAAGGGCTCACCTCACCTCTTCTGAGTCTCCCATTCCAGGACTTCAACCTGTAATTTTTTCCATTCCGCTTCACCCAAATTTTAAAAACTCGAGTCTGTTCCAATTTTGCTTTCATGCTCATGACTGAACTGGGCAGAACTAGTTCAAAGCCCTGGTTACAACTGCCAATCTTTCTATTAGCAGATAGTAGATCCGCGCTTAACCAGGGCTTCTGGGATACAATGTAGTAGTTTATTTACTCCACACGTGGGGGAGAACAGGTGAGGAGAGTTGGAGAAGACAAAAGAAAGTAACCTCACCACTTACCAGCTTACAAGCTAACTCAATTACTACACATTTGCTTTTCTATGACAAACTAACAACAACGTGTCACTGCCCCACACGCTATACTGGCGCCACCTCACTTAAGTCGCGCAAAGTCCCCGTGAAGGCAGGCACTGCTTCTACTCGCCTTTCACGAAGCAGCTACGGGGTGCCGAGGCCGATCCGCATTCAGATCCCAGAGCCTACCTCCATCCCGGCCGACGGTGCGGCCCCAGTAAGTTACAGCAGTTTAGACGGACGCCCGCCATCGCTCCCCACCGCCCCATTACCACTTAGCCCCCATTCTGGCGTTGCCCCGGTCGGGCCTCCTGGGTAAGGGGCCCAAGCTCTCACCAGGTACTTCCCGTCCGGGGAGAACTTGCTAAGCAGGCTGGACAGCTTGAAGACTTCGGAGAAGTTCATGGCGGCCTCCCTCCCGAGGGCCCAAGGTCCGGAGTCTCGCCTCAGCAGCCCGCGGCGACGAGACCGGCTCCTCTGGAGAGCGGCCGGCGGGCCAAGGCTGTGCCCGGGCCGAACCCGAGCCTGCAAGCCCGCCGGCCCGCCTCGGTCCCAGCCTGACCCTCCAGGTCGACCTCCGCCGGGCCTTCCACCGTGACCGCCGCCCTCGCCAACCGCCGCCCGCCGGATCCCAGCCGGAAACCCGGGGAAGGCGGGAAGCGAGCACAGCCTATCAGGATCCCGGTGGCCGCACGGCATTGTGGGGCTTATAGTTCACTGCAGCCCGGCGCCGCTGTGCCTTAAAGGAGCCAGTCCGCATTTCTCCCCACCCGGAATTTCTGAGCCGTACCCCAAGGGATAGGAGGCCTCGGGGGTCCTCTCCAGCTGGGATTGCCAGATAAAATGCAGGACGCCCAGTTAGACTGAATTTCAGATAAACAATGAATAATTTTATAGTATGAGCATCTTCCAGATAAAGCATGGGAAAATTATTTGTTTACCTGAAATGCAAATTTGACTGGCTGTCCTGCATATATCTGTGTACATAAGTATGCCCAAGTCCGTTGCCATCGAGTCAATTCCGATTCATAGCGATCCTACAGGACAAAGCAGAGCTGCCCCATGGGGTTTTCTAGGCTGTAATCTTCACAGGAGCAGATTGCCAGGTCTTTTCTCCGCTGGGCAGAGCTGCTGGTGGGTTAGAACTTCTGACCTTTTCCTTAGCATCCAAGCACATAACCATTGTACCACCAAGCCTCCTTATTTATGTATCTATGTATACATATACATATGTGTTATATATATAAACTATATACAACATCCACATGCACACATATATACATGTATGTAATACAGGCAGTCCCAGGGTTACAAACATCTGACTTGCGTACAACCTGTAATTGCAAATCAACCCCATAAAGCATATTATATTAAAAATTCGAGGTACAACAATGGTTGATAATAACAAACATGTGCTTCTTTGTGAGGCACATCAAAACATTATCATTATTACTTTATTATTATGTTAAAGATGTATTAGTGCATCATAAAGTGTTTCTTTAATTTTTTTATGCATAGAAAGGTACGCTATATACTAAGACAAACATTTAACTAGCTGATGTTGGATACAAATCACACCTAACTGTTCCAATTTACGTACAAATTCAACTTAAAGAAACACTTAGGAATGAAACTTTTTCCTAATCGGGGGACTGCCTGTATGTAATATATGGGGTTGTTGTTAGGTGCCATGGAGTTGATTCTGACTCATAGCGACCATACGTACAACAGAACAAAACACTGTCTGGTCTTGTGGCATCCAACAATCCTTGCTATGTTTGAGCCCATTGTTGCAGCCACTGTGTCAATCCCTCTTGTTGAGGGTCTTCTTCTTTTTCACTGACCTTCTACTTTACCAGGCATGATAATATATGGCACATATTTATTATGTTGCAGCAGTACATTCACAGGGAGGGAACTGCCAGAAATTAAAGTGGGATTCAGAAGGATGTGGAATGAGGGATAGCATTGCTGATGTCAGATGGACCCTGGCTGAAAGCAGAGAATACCAGAAAGATGTTTAGCTGTGTTTTATTGACTATGTAAAAGCATTTGTCTGTGTGGATCATAACAAATTATGGATAACGTTGTGAAAAATGGGAATTCTAGAACACTTAATTGTGTTCATGAGGAACCTGTACATAGACCAAGAAGCAGTCGTTCAAACAGAACAAAGGGGTACTGTGTGTTTTAAAATCAGGAAAGGTGTTAGGGTTGTATCCTTTCGCCACACTTACTCAATCTGTATGCTGAGCAAATAATCCAAGAAACTGGACTATATGAACAACACAGCATCAGGATTGAAGGAAGACTCATTCACAACCTGTGAAATGAAGATGACACAACCTTCCTTGCTGAAAGCAAAGAGGATTTGAAGCACTTGCTGATGAAGATCAAAGACTACAGCCTTTAGTATGGATTATACCTCAACATAAAGAAAACAAAAATACTCACAACCGGACGAATAAGCAAAACCATGATAAACAGAGAAAAGATTGAAGTTGTCAAGGATTTCATTTTACTTGGATCCTGCAATCAATGCCCATGGAAGCAGCAGTCAAGAAATCAAAGGACGCATTGCATCGGACAAGTCGCTGCGAAAGACGTCTCTGAAGTGTTAAAAAGCAAAGATGTCATTTTAAGGACTAATGTGCACCTGACCCAAGCCATAGTGTTTTCAATCGCTTCATATGCATGTGAAAGCTGGACAACAAATAAGGAAGCCTGATGAAGAATTGATGCCTTTGAATTATGGTGTTGGGGAAGAACCAACGAATCTGTTTTGAAACGAGTACAGCCAGAATGCTCCTTAGAAGCAAGGATGGCGAGACTTCGTCTTCCGTGCTTTGGACCTGTTACCACAAGGGATCAGTCCCTGGAGAAGGACATAATGCTTGGTAAAGCAGAGGATCAGCAAAAAAGAGGAAGACCCTCAACGAGATGGATTGACACAAAGACTGCAAACGATGGGCTCAAGCATAGCAACGATTCTGAGGATGGCGCATTACCGGGCAGTGTTTTCTTCCGTTGTACATAGGGTCGCCATGAGTCGGAACCAACTGGGCGGCACCTAACAACAACGTTTATTATGTATGTAATATGTAATAAATAAGTATATTTATTTTGGGCTGAATCTGGCACCGTATCTGCAGCGTCACCCTCATGTCACACTCTGCTCCTATCTGGATCACGGAGGGAACGAATTCCATGCTGACTCGGAAGAGCGCGTGTGCGGATCGCGCGCAGCCGGCTCTCCACGCGAGTGGGAAACGAACACCTGACGCAGCGCCAGGCTTCGCTAGCCTCGCCTTGGCTCCCGGGGCCTGCTTTGTCCTCTGGCCCACTCGGAAACTCCGGAGAGGGCACTCTTCCGAGCAGCCGTCCTCCCCGACATTCTCACCCATGCAGGCCGTTAGTCGTTGGGCTCCGAAGGCGCCTCCGCGGCCCGCCAGGTTGCGCGGACCCTAACACCCCTCACCTGACCCTGTGCTCCGGAGAACGGAGATCTGGACTTGGTCCTCGTCGCGCCCAGCCCCGGGCCTGCCCCACCCTCTTGGACGCCCCGCAACCCTCCTCAAACAAACCAACGAATGGGGGGTGGGTTTGAATGCGTGCGTTCTGTTTGGGTGGTGCTGGCGTTTTCTGTCCCCAACCAGATCCAAATCCCGGTGTGAGACCCGTCTTTGTGATCCCCTCCCCCGCCCCGCGTCTAGCAAACAGTAGGTGCACTATAAAGTTGTGTAGAAGCTGGCCACGTCGGCGCGACCGGCAGGTGAGGTGCGGGGCCTGGAACGTGGGGAGAACCGGGTCTGCCCCAACGGGGCTCGCGCGCGAAGCCACTGGCGGCATTGACTCAACCTTTCAGTGCGCAGCGGTCACCCTAGGCGGGGGGCATCGGTTTGGAGCCCGCTAACAGGGTCCAAAAGTGCCAAAGGACAGCGCACCTCAGGATTCCCGCCGCCAAGAGCTGATCAGAACTCGTCCTGCGTGTAGGGTGCCTTCCCGGGCCAGGCTTATGGAGATGGGGGCCCTGGTAGCTCCCACCTGCCCTGGGGCGCCGCCCCGCTCCCGGAGCTGCAAGGGTCGTCGGCCAGAGGGGCTCCCTGGCCTTACAGAAGGCAGATCCATTCCGAGTGCATGGACACACGTGTGGCCGTGGACACCTGCGCGCCTCCGCACAAATACAGAGCAAAACCCAGCCTCCGGGATCTGGAAGTGCGGCCTGGGGAGGGAGCAGGGTGCGGGCGGTGACCCGATAGCTCGCATCCGGAGCCACTCTCTGGGGGCTCAACCTCAGCCGGGGAAGTGCGCGGGTTGGGATTGGGAGAGTCGCGCTCAAGCCCCCAGAATCCGCAATGCCGGGTAGGGCCGGGGAGCGGCGTGACCTCGGCGCGCTGCGGTGGGTGGCGCGCGGTCCTCCCCCAAGGCGAGCTGCTAGTGCCGCCAGACGCAAACACTTCCTTTGCCTCCGGTCGGGCCCCGGGATCCAGCTCCGCACCCTGGGCCCGGGCCGGACCGCGTGCGTGCCGGATGCGGAATCGGGCGGAGGCACCCCATCCTAGCTGGGGGCGCAGGGCGGGACTTACCCGCCCTTCCCTTTCAGACACCCTGCGCGCGCCGCGGGGCCGAGCTTGGGGCGGGTGTTAAAACCGTCGGGACGTTGCGGGAAGCGCGGACGTCGGCGCAGGTGGGTGGCCCGGGGGAATTACCGGGGCCTCAGAGCGCGGAGTCGGCGTCGATGCCTGCCCGCAGCTTCCGCGCGCACCCAGGCCGGCCTCAGGGAGGCCCCGACCTAGGTCCAGCGTGCGCAGACGACCCCGCTGAGGCTCGGCTGTGCGGCGCGCTCCAGACGCAGGCGGGAAGGAGGCGGCCTGGTGCCCGGATCCCGCTCGGCAAAGGCCAGCTGCTGGGGCGGAGCGCGAGGAGGAGGCCTCGGCCGGAGCCCCGCCACCTCCCCGTCCCGCCTCCC